CTTCATGGCAATAGCAGATTATGCTGTGGCGCGTGAAGATAATTCAGGAAAGGGATGATGTAAGAGCTGCCGTCCTCTAGAACTTAAAGAAAAGGGAAAGTCCAGAATAAGAGGCGGAGGATGAGCTTTGGGTGGGAAAATTTCCCTTTCCTTTTTGTCACAGAAGGAGAAAGCAAACGTTGAGTGAGTACAAGTAGGTTAGTTTGCAGGTCAGAAGCTGTGAGGCTTTATATCCAGGCCTTGTATATTCTCACTGAAACCCAAGGAGGAATCATTAGCTTGGGTGGGGGGGAGGTGAACCAGCTATGGGATCCACTCTTCTTCTGATGAGAAGGAAACCAGTTTTTCTGATTACCAAGGTCGTCAATAACCTACGTTTTTTTGCCAGTGCTCCTTGAATTTTTTTACTCCTATTTGGCATGCATGGATTTCTATTCTGTGCTTTTTCCTTTCTGAAAAGGAAAGGAAAGTAGTTTGTAGTGGTAGTCAATCGTTTTTTGATGAGGTTCAAAAGGCTTCATCGTTTTTGTGGCAGTAAATATCCCAAATCATGCTTTTAGGACAAGAGCTGGTCAGAAGAGTGGAGGCTGTAAGGTGGGAAAGGTTGATGGTTCTGGTTTATAGAGGGGCCTCCAAAAGGCTGTTGAGGAGATGGATAGAGGAGAACCAGGGCATTTTTTTTTAAAAAAGCAGTATGTAGATGACTAATGGGAAAGTTTAAGTTCTGTCATGGCTTTCGATATAAAACACTCATTTCCATGTTCCAAAAACCTTAAATAAAAATTATGTTACTAGTTGTCTTGGTCTATTTGGGCTGCTGTAAACAAAATGCTATAGGCTGAGTGGCTTATGAAGAACAGAAATTTGTTCCTCCTGGTCCTAGAGGTTAGGACGTCCAAGGTCAAGGCAGATTCCATGTCTAATGTGGTCTCACTCCCTGGCTCATAGATGGTACCTTCTTGCTCTATCTTCAGGGAGCAGAAGTGGGAACAACTCTTAACTCTCTCTTTTATAGGATCCCTGGTCCCATTAGGGATCCCAATGGGGAATGAGTCATGAGTTACGGTTCTGCTCAGCTTTATGAGGGTACACTTTGTTGTTTTCCAAAATGATTCTGTATATTTTTATTACTGCAAATACCAGAGATTTTGCCTCCCCCAAAGCTCCTGTCTCCAAACACCACCACTTTGGGGGTTAGGGTTTCCCCATTTGAATTCAGGAGGGCATCAACATTCAGACCACAGCATGAGTTGAGGCCAACCCTGGTGATGTTCCTTGACTCGGGGGGAGTCAGAGCAGATATGAACCAAGGGCCCCCATACACATTCACTTTACATTTTTATTTCAATTGTGAAATAAATTATAAAGACCCAGGGGTGTACGCAATGCATCTGAACTGCTAAAAAAAATATAATTACAACCACAAAAATGAGCACTCTGGGTCCTACAAGCAGCTTAAAACGAGGACATTTTCCATTCCTCTGAAGACTCCTGAGTGAAGTTCCTCAATGGTACATGCTTCTTAGTCCCCAGGGTTAACCAGTAGCTTTCTTAGCTTTCTTCATGAGTTTTATCTTACACACACACACACACATATCCCCAAATAATATGCCGCTTCATTTTGCTTTTTATTTTATCTTTTGTGGTACTGGGGATAGAACTCGAGGGGTGCTCTACCACTGAAATACACCCCCATCCCCTTTTTTCGTTTATTTTGAGATAGGGTCTCACGAAGTTATCCAGACTGGCCTATGAACTTGTGATCCTCCTGCCTCAACTTCCCAAAGAGCTGGGATTACAGGCATGCACCACCATGCCCAGCTAATTTTGCTTGTTTTTTTTTTTAACTTTAAATAAAGGAAGATATAGTCTTGCATGAGTTGTTTCTGCTCCCTTCGCCATTATATTTTTAAGACTTACGCGTGTTCTTAGGTGCACCGCAGTTTATGTTCACTGATGTATAGTGATCCAAGGTAGGAGATGACCACGAGGTATGAATGCATTCTGCCTTTGATCAACCAGTGGTTTGTTTTCAGGAATTTTTTTTTTCCTATTATGAACAATGCTGCTGGAATACATTCGTATCTCCTAGAGCAAATAATTTCAGGTTATATACCTGGGAATAGGATTGCTGAGTCATAGATTATATTTCTGTTCTGCTTCACCAGGCATGTTTTATTGCTTTCCAAAGTGATTCTGCCAATTTTGGGTTTTATTTTCATTACTGATAATGCCAGAGACTTCACAGACGGGAGCTGTTCCCCAGCAGCTCCTGCAGAGAGAGGCAGTGAAATTTTAGAAGTGCATTTTCCTTTTTGTGTTTTTTGTTTTGGTTTTCCTTCTTCCCTGACTCTCATTTTCAGATAGGAAATATTTCTTGTCACATGAATGTGTTCAGAAAGCTTCAAGGAAACTGATCATGTCAAAAGAACAGAACATTCAAAGTTAGAGGCAGAAAAGAAGGGTTTATTCCCTGGCACCCATTTTTTTTTTTTAAATTGTGAGGGTCTGGAATACCCATCAAGGAGTGGAGGGGAAGGGGTTCACTTGCAAAATTCTTAGCCTCAGAGTTGAAATGCTTTTTTTGTGGTTAGGGATTGCCATAGTCACAGTAGGACTGACTGTGAGAACTGCATGTTTTCTACTCTTGTTCAAAAGGATGCGGAAAGAAGGATGTACTTCTGCCTGAAAATCTGGTGTCTTGACACTCAGGTTGGTCTTGCCTTTCTGTTTGCCAAAACAAGGGATCTGGAACCTCCACTCCTTTCTGTCTCTCCTCTTTCCCCTCTAGAGGGTCAGCCATGGTCCATTCCCATTAGAGAAGGAGTCTCTAATGCGCTCACAAGACCCCTGGAAAAGTAGATCTTGTTCCAACATTAGAAACAAACCATCTGAGGTTCAGAGAGGTGAGCAGCACAGCTTCTGGGTTACAGATTTGAGACCAAAGCCTTGTCTGTCTGATTCCATCTTTGCCTCCCCTGTGGATCGCTCCCTGACCCCTCCGTTCTTTGTATTGTGGTGTATATAACCATGTGATCTTGAACAAGGGTTTTATTCTGTCTGAGCTTTTGGAAGATAACAATTTCCATATTTTTTCCCCACTTTTCCTTTTTATTCTTTTTTTTTTTTTTAACTGGTGCATTATAGTGACACGTTACCTTCCAGTTCACATAGTTTTAGTACATATTTGTTAAACAATAAAAATCACCGTATGGATTTCTTAAGTCCTAGTAGGAACAACATTGTGAGCTTACAGAGGTCTTTCCCCTTGGTGCTCTAATTGTTTTGCTATTTGTCTCCTCAATCTACTCTCTTAGCCCCTGGTTAAGTGTGACTGTTATTGTTCTGTGCCCAGTATGGGTCTGCAATGAGGTGGGTCTTGGCCATAAAACTTGCTCCAGTATATTGTTTATCTGTCACTTTGCTTTCACCTGTTTGGCTGGCAGATGGCATATTTCCTCTCGTAATAACGGTCAGAATTTTTAGTGGAGGCTTTCGCCGTGCACGCTGTGACTGCATACTATGGCTCTGATATTTGTCCCCGAGACGCAGTCAGGCTTGGCGGCACAACCAGCATGCCAATACCCTGTTCCCCCGGGAGGCTGCTATCACTGCCTCCCAGGCTGTTTACCTCTCCAGTCACACTTCCCTCTGCTAACAGGGGATTCAGAAGCAGAGGAAAGGTGTTGTTCCGATGTGGAAAAACAGTGAAACCAGTGTCTAACTTGGTGTGGCTTGGGAGGATCCATCGCCACCACCAAAGATGCATCCGGAAGATCAATTTTTCAGACCTTTCTCTTGCATGTTATTTCACATGCCATGGGTACCTTACCTGATTCCATTTTCCCCTGCACTGAGGAGACAGGTGTGCTGGCTCTTGGTAGAGCCTTGATACCCAGAGAATAGAAAGGCCATGGTCTGAGGAATTCTTCTTTGTGAACCCCAATACTTTACTCTCAAATAGCAACTAGAACAAAAGGAAATGCCTGACTTTTTGGTGGTGTCATACCATATGAAGAAACATGTTAGGGCCTTGGGCCCAGTTTTGTTTTTTTTCTAAATTGGTTGCACTCCTGTTAGTAAACTGGGCAGAAATTTTCAAGAATAATAAAGATGATTGAGGATGGCCATAAGAGACCAGAGGTAGAGGTCACAGCCTACAAGAGGGGCAGGCAAACTTTTTCCATAAAGGTCCTAATAAGCTTGCTGGGTCCTCCGTCTCTGCAGACTATTATTCTTTGTTTGATTTGCAATCCTTTAAAAATGCAAAAAACCATTCTCAGCTCAAATCCTTGCAGAACTAGGCCACAGGCTAGATTTGGCTTATAGTTTCCAGTTCCATAATCTCATCCTTGATTTTACAGCAACAAAATATCATAGGGGAAAAAAAAACCCTTAATATGGTAAGTTTTGAGAGGAAGCAATGAGCAAGCATGAATAATTAGGAAAGAATTTCTGGAGGACAAAATGAGCTAAGAAAAGGAGAGGAAGGACAGAGACTATGAGATAGTTGTTGGGAGAAACTGGGGACAGGAAAAAAGAAGCAGATATGATATGGGATGAGAGCTGCACAGTATCTTGAACAAAGAAAAAATCTGGGAACATGAAGCAAACAAGTTAGCTTTCCTCCTAAGCAGAGCTAGTGATACATCCTCCCCAGCCGTGCCGTGGAGCAGAGCAGATTCATATGGGATTTGAGAGGGAATTTATTCCCATCTTTGGACTCGCCAGGACAGTCCCCTTTAAGCCCACATGACAGGTGGTAGACCTTCCCTTGCCTTGTTTCACCTTTCAGTGCTGTGGCTTAGGGCTTGTTCCATCTGTTTCCATCATTGAAAATAAAAGGGAGGGCAAGGGCCAAAGCTACCTGGTTGCAGGTTGGCAATTGTGGGTGGCAAGGACAGCAGCCACAGCTGTGGGACACTTCCTGTGAGCTGGAAAGTATATGCAATAAGATGAGCCGTGCCACTTCAATTGACATGCCATCTTTTCTCCCACAGGTAACCGACCTTCACAAAACAGGCAAGACGAAACCCTGAACATGGACGGGGAGGTACTAGACCTCAAAGGGAAGAGAAGGAAAAGAGTCTCAAACATGAAACCAGGTTAGAGAACCGATAAATAGGCTGCTTTTTTTTTTTAGCTGGAAGATATTTGAAAAACAGAGACTTCTAAATTTCTTCACCCCCATAAGTCCCAAGTTCTCAATTCTGTGACTATTTCAATGAAATTATCCCAGGTGCATTAAAATAGATTGGGAATTAGGATCTCGAGTTCACTGTAAAATTTATAATCACTAATATTATCATAAGTATGATTGCTAACATAATTCTATAATTTATTATCATTAATATTATCATACATAGTTTCACTAGTCTTTCATCTATTTTCTCAAAGGAGAAGAACTCTAAAGTCGTAAATATTTATTTCAAAATTATCATAAGTGGTGTGTTTGTGGCTCAATTTAAGTTTCTTTCTTTTTTTGCTTTTGGTACTGGGGATTGAACTCAAGGGCATTGCAGCACTGAGCCACACCTCCACCCTATTTTTTTTTTTTTACACTTAGAGACAGGGTCTCACTGAGTTGCTGAGTATCTCGCTTTTGCTGAGGCTGGTTTTGAACTTGTGATCCTTCTGCCTCAACCTCCTGAGCCCCTGGGATTACAGGTGTGCACCACCATGCCTGGCTCAATTTAAGTTTTTTAGATGTTTCATAAACGGGGCGATGTAACATATGGGTTAAAAAATACTAGATATCACAAGAAGGGCCCCATTCCCCTCCGAATTAGGAGAGAGAGCACTGGATTAGGAGTCAGTGTATCTTGACTGTGTTCTCTAGCCTCTTCTTTACTAGCCTTGGGCTTTCGGGAAAGTCATTTAACTCCTCAAGTCTCAGTTTCCTCATGAGGAAAACAGATGGTGCACAGTCCCAGTTTCGTAATGGTGTTTTTATTTGTAAGTGAATATTAAGGGGCTTTGTAAACTGTAAATCGCTGTGATAATGACAGAGACTTTATTTGTGTTAGCATTTCCTTGGTGGGTTGACCTCCCCTGTTCATGGCAGGTAGCTTGCTCTTTGCTGTGATCTGAGGAGTGCCTGAAGGATCAGCTGCCTGTCAGATTTCTCCTAAATTGGACTGTGATTAAATGACTAACCCATTCGTGTGGGGTCCAGAGTTTTTACCGTCCTCAGGTAGTTAAATGAGGAACACAAACATGCAGATGTGATTGAAGACACGGCTCAACTCAGCCGAGGACATCCTAACTCTTTACCAGCTGGATTCCTAGGAAATGACCTGAGCAAATGGAGCAGAATTGCCACCAAATACAGGGTTTGAGGAGCCTGGGGTGTGACCCTGAGAACGTGTGAGGGGAGCAAGCCCTAAGAAAGAGTCATTCTGTGAATGACGTCACCGTTTTGACTTAGGCTGGTCTGTTCTGCACAGATCCAAGGGATGGCAGCCTGTGCATCTTGACCTTTGAATTCCTTCCCCATGCCATTTTTTTTCCCCCCACTAAAGCAAGTGGCTCTCAGGATAGTATCCTGACTAATGCTCTTAGAACTCTTGTGCATAGACAGCTAACTTTATACAACAAGTCGCGTTTCCCTTTGAAGAAACAACCACCACCTGTTCCGGCCTCCCCAGTTTGTAGTTGGGACCTGACACCTGGCATGGTGGATGTGATGGGGTCTCTGAACGGCCCCAGTGGTTACAAAGCAAAATGTACAATGTGCTTTCTCCACTTTGTTTTTCTTTTGTTGACTGTCTGGATACTGATGCCAAGGCTAATGCTGGCAATCGAATCTTGAAGACAGAACGGCCATCTGAGTGGAAGGAAATTGCATTTGAGTCACTGCTTTTTGGAGTGAAGCCACCAGACCAGGAATGGTTACATCTGACTGGTATGTGAACAAAATTCTATTTTTTTGTTTTAGCGTTTCGCCACTGGGATTTTTGAGTTTTCCAGAACAGCAGCGAGTGTCACTTGGGTTAATACAGTGACTGATGTTTGCAGATTTTCTTCTGGCTGTTTTCTGTTCCCTACTAACTCGGGTCTGCTTAGCCTTTTTTTTTTCTTGAGGTGTCACCCTGATCCTTTATCCTCTCTCCCCACGTTCTTTTTATTCTCTTTCAGATCGCATCTTCCAATGAATAATAAAAATCAACAAAAAAGCAAAGAAAATAGAGGGATCATGACAATTTTATTATCATTTTTTTTTCCTTCTTCATTTGACTGCATGGGAGTAGCTCAAGAGCCTGGCAGAAGTCCAGGACAGATGTTCGAAGGTCCTTGGCTGAAACTTGTGTGCTGGATAGAAAACAGGTTTAAACACTAAAGACTGTAAGTTTTAATGGCATGAGTTTTAAATTGAGAGCCAAGAGGAGAGCTTTCTCAATACTTCACTTCCATGAAATTAGTTTCGTTTTCATTTCTTACTCTCCAGTTGGCAGAATGCCCTTGAAATGTGGACTTTGTTAACAGAGCACCCTGCAGTCATTACCTGGTTGAAGAAAATTGGCAGAGGGAGCTGAGAGAGTTGTTTCTACCTCAGTCCAAGCTGTGGGGCTGGAACCCAGATTGAGATGCTTGGATAGGAGGGAAAATAGAGCCCTAGAGCTGAAGGAAAGGTAAAGGAAGTTAAATATCCAAAATAAATAAGCAAGCAAAAACCTAGAAAACAGCAATAAAAGCATTAGGTGCTTACAAAAGTAGACTGAATGGATATCTGAGATCTCATAATTTTCCCATTTCTAGAGGTTGTGTGCACAGGTACACTGACAAGATGATCCATTGAGCTTGTACAGTGGCCACCGTGTGTTATTGGAGAAGTGGTATTGGGAAAGACTATGGCTTCTTAACGACAAAATGGCTCCACACTCATTTAGGTTAAGTGACCCAGCTGGCTTGAGGACTCCCTCAGTAGTTTCTAGAGGCAATACAGAACCTCAGTTGTCTTGCATAATCCTTTATCTTTCCACAGACAGAGTCCTGGCTCCATGATGTAATGGATTCTAATTGAGAATCTTGGATTTGAGTCTTGACTTTGCAACTTAACTATCTCTAAAGACTTTGGGTAAGTGTATATTAAAAAAAAAAAGAAAAAAGAAAAAAACAAAACCAAAACCTTTTTCCTGCCTCAGTTTCCCCATTTGTAAAGTGAAAATTGGCAGAGGATCTACCACATAAAATTTCCAGAGGGATTTCAGGACTAGCCAGAGGGATTACAATAGTACCTACTGGAAATGTCACCTATCCTTGCTGGTTTTTCTTTTTATGGGGTACCTGCATTTCCTTTTGTTTGAGCTTTTGCTTAAATGGAAATGTCCTCTGACATTTAAATGTGGCACCACCTTTTAGTGGCATATCATCTTTTCTTTCTTTTTTTTTTTTTAACTTTTGTTACCAGAATTGAACCCAGGGGTACTCTATCACTAAGCCATATCCACAGAATCCCCCCACCCAGCTTTTTAAAATTTGAAATAGGGCCTCACTAAGTTGCCCAGGCTGGCCTTGAATTTGGGATCCTCCTGCCTCAGTCTCCTGAGTCACTGAAATTATAGACATGCACCATGGCACCCAGCTTGGCAGATTTTCTGACCCACATCTTCCTTGCTTAGGGATGCAAAGTGACAAGAGAATAATGTAGGATGCTGTTGGTCACTGTGGCAAGGGAAAGGAAGGTGCTAGAAAACACACCACAAGTCTGCTCAAGTTTCACAGGCCCAAGCAAGTTACGTCACCATTGCCAAATGTAGGAAATAGCTTTCTCTTCTGCTCTTGCCCAAGGGTAAAGCACACTTTCTCCCTTTACTGATTTTGTGATTCGCTTTGTCCAAGGCAGTGTGGGTGGAAGTGTCAGCATGCTGGTCCCCAGAAGAGGTTTTAACAGACATCCCAGTGCTTTCAGTCTCTCTTTGCACTCTCTGCTCTCCAGTAAGAAAAGAACAGACTCCTGGGAGCCATTGCTTCTTTTTTGAGAGTTGTGGTTTGAGAGACATGCAATGTCTGATGCAGAGCCACAGCTGAGCCATCAAAGTCACAAACCTGTGAGCAAGAAATGTTTGTTGTTATGAGACACTGAGATTTTGGATTGTTTGTCACTGAAGCAAAAGCTGACTAATTCACTCATCATATACTTAGAAAGAAATAAAACAAGTCAGAACAGGATATGGGTGAATAGTCCAAATGACTGCCACCTTGCTTTATTTTCCTGTTTCAAAATTTTAATCAACATATAATGTCTATATCTATCTATGGAATATAGTATAATAATTTGATACATGTATATGTAGTGTGTAATGATCATATCAAGTTAATTAGCATTTCCATCTCCTCAAACATTTATCATTTCTACAGTGTCTTTTTTTTTGTGGTGCTGGGCATTGAACCCAGAGGTGTTTTACTACTGAGCTATATCCCCAGCCTCTTTATTTTTTTTTTTTTAATTTTATGATAGGGTCTCACAAAGTGGCCCAGGCTGGCTTCGAACTTGCCATCCTCCTGCCTCAGTCTCCCAAGTCCCTGGAATTATAAGAGTGCACCATCATGCCTGGCTGCACAATGTCATTTAAAGAAAGATCTGTTGTATTGCAAAAGATTGCCAACTATAAATGTGGAAGGGATAATACCAGTAGAAATTGCCATTTTGTCATCCTGAAATAATTGATTGCAGGCAGAATTATCAATGAAGTTTGGAATCATTAGATGAAAGGTTGTTATGAATTATAATGTTTGGAGGAGGCCTGACACCCTACAGATTATTGGCTCTTTTGCAAGAGTGAATTGTCCTTTGATATAGAGAACTGTCATCAAGCCATGCCAAAGTGACAGTGGATGGCTTGATTTGTCTGCTTGCTGATCTAATGCCATATAAAGCAACAGCACTGCCTTGGGTCTACCTTACCTAAAACGTTGCATCTGTGTTTAATCAAGACCTTAGTTCTGCTGGGTGTGGTGATGCATGCCTGTAATCTCATTCACTTAGGAGGCTGAGGCAGGAGGATCCCAAGTTCAAGGCCAGCCTGGGCAACTCAGTGAGACTGTCTCAAAATGAAAAACAAAAAAGTCTGGGAGTGCAGCTTAGTGGTAGAGCACCTCTGGATTCAATCCCCCGTACCACGTACGCACAAAAGATCTTAATTCAGATTCCCATTTACAGTAGACACAGGTACATGTTAAATAATACCATGAGAAACAGTAAGTCAGGTATGGTTGTTTTTCATAAGGCTGCTATTCAAGACTCTATATATTATGCCCAAGTAACTGGGATCAAATAGCAATACGTAGCTTGTTCCATGGTATTAAAATTAACCAAAGATGCAAACAGTTAAATGCAATGTGTGATCCTTGATTGGATTCTAGTTTGAAAGAGCCAACCAGAAGAGGATTTGTTGCTCAATTTGGGATGTGTAGCCTGGACATTGGATGATATCAATGTATATTTGATATTTCTGGGTATGATAAAGGTATCAAAGCTAAAATGATTGTTCCTAGTCTAGGATATGCTTGCTGACATATTTTGTTAAATATGATATGTAACCCAGTTTTAAGTGGTTTATAAATAAATTTATACAGAGATACAAACACATACACATCATATTTGCAATTAAAGCAAAATGTTCACCTTCTCAATCTAAGGGAAGGATATATGTGTTCAGGATTTCTTGAAATTTAAATCTGAATTTTTTTATAATAAGAAAGTTTGAAAAAAAAAATGAAGGAAGACATTGAATGAGGTGGGAGATGGTACACATATAATATTCCAACCTGTGCTGAAAATGTCATTCTAGCAAGATGAACATGACCTCAATTTGTATTCCTTCTTCTGAGCTGTTTTATTTCAGGGGTCTGATTCTGAATTGTTGCTCTTGACCATCTGCATCCTTCATAATTTTTCCCTTATACAAAGAACAATCCGTTGATTTAGGGAAAGAGATCATTAATCATACTTTATTTTACAGGGTCTACCTGCAAAATCTGCATCTGACCAGATAGTTTAATGGTTCTCAGTTTTAGAAACAGATGTTATCTCTATGCAAAGCGTGTTTTTGAACTTGACCTGTTCTATTTCCTGTATTTCTACCTCTTCTGCCTTAGTGGGTGTTTCTTCTCTTCACTAAGAAGGGTTGACTGAAGGTGACTTTTCTTAGAGCTCATCTATTCTGGATGCCTCTCAGATCTTTATCTGATCTTCTCTTACCTTTACCCTTTCTGTAATTTCTGGTGACTATTCAACCTGATACGCATACTCTCTCTGATGTGTCTATGCACACATAAACATGCATTTAGGTCACCTCCATTTAAAAAGTAACTTCTTTTTCTGACACCCACTCAACCTTCCAAGAGGTGTTGGCTTACCTGTGTTCTTCCCTTGACAGCTAAATTTCTCTTAACTACAGTCTATGCAAATTATTGCCATTTTTCTGGCCACTTGCTCATTATTCTAATTTATTTCTGAAATGACTGTCACGAAAGTCCCCCAAAAAGTAACTTTCAAATCCAATTTCTATTTTTTTTAATTCATCTATCTCTTTCTCTTTCTGCAATTTTAAAAGAACTTTCCATACTTCTTCCTTTTAAAATTTTCTCCCTGCAGCACCCAGGAAACTTTTTACAGTACCTAATACCTTTGCGTCTGTTTTTTTTTGTTATTATTATTATTATTTTTGTGTCTGTGTGTTGTGCTACTGGGGTTGAACCCAGAGATCTCAACCACTGAGCCATGTCCCCAACCCTTTTTTACATTTTATGTTGAGACAGAGTCTCATTGAGTTGCTTAGGGCCTTGCTGAGTTGCTGAGGCTGGCTTTGAACTCGAGATCCGAGGTCCTATTGCCTCCTATTGCTTCCCCGGCCACTGGGATTACAGGTGTTTGCCACTGCACTTGGCTAATACCTTTCAGTCTGGAAGACTTGAGGTTTTTAGGCCTTCTCTAAGCAGAACTGGTCACTTTATTGGTTTTATTGAACCCTTTCCTACCAAACCCAAGGCCACTGTGGTTCTATTAACCCAGGCTTCTACCTTCTCCCAGACTCAATTTCCCTCCTCCATTTTAAACCCTTTATGCTCATGTATTTTTTGCATTCTAGTGGCTGTTACTTGGACTTAGCATAGTCTCTCATACTGACCATCTGTTTGGGATGTTTTCTTAGCTTTAACTTGAATTCCCATTATGCAATTGTTATTCCTCCTTACCCATAACGATATTTTCCAAGACCCCTGATTGTATGCCTGAAATTTCAAATAATACTGAACACTCAATAAACTATATTTCCCCCCTATATTTGCACAGCTATGATAAAGTTTAACTTATGAATTAGGCATAGTAATAGATCAACCATAATAACTGTTATGCTTTGGATATAAGGTGTCCCCCAAAAGCTCCTATGTTGATGCAGGAATATTCAGAGGTGAAATGATTGGACTGGGAAAGCTATGACCTGATCAGTCCATCCGACTTTGAATGAACTGGGTGGTACCTGCAGGCAGGTGGAGTGTTCCTGGAGAAGGTGAGTCACTGGGGATGTGCCCTGGAAGGGTGCATCTTCCCTCTGGTTGCTTTTCACTTCTCTTTCTCTCTGCCTCCTGGCTGCCATGAGATGAGCAGCTTTCCTCTGCCATCCCCTTCTTCCATGATGTTCTGTCTCTCCTGGGGCCCAGAGCGATGAACTCAGCCATCTATGAACTCAGACCTCTGAAACGGTGAGCCCTAAGTCAATTTTTTCTCCTTTAGTTGTTCTTACCAGGCATTTTGGTCACAGTGCTGCAAAGCTAACTGAGACAATAGCTAGTCATAAAATAAAATAGTCATAACAATATATTGTCATCAGGGTTATGGGAATATGTTCTCTTTCTCAGGATTTCTGCTTGTACTGTACTTGCCCATCTTCTGGGGGTAGATACAAGTTAATGGTTGACTGAAGGTGCCTGAAACCAGGAGAGCAAGGCTTCAAATAAGGGGACCACTGCATTCTCTTTTTTTTCCACTGTTCTGAAACTCCTTTGAAACATGGAATCATTGTTTTAGTCAGTTCTTTTTTTTTTTTTTTTTTAATTACTGGACCCAAAGACCTA